TCTATACTGTGTACGAGTGTGAGAGAGGTTTTCTCTCAAATGAGAGAATAAAGTCTGATTGGCAGGAGAGAAGCAGACTATCAGGTATCCAACTTAAATGCACTGACTGAGAATTTCTCTGGATTCTCCTGCAGTAGCGTGCCCCTTTTGATCGTCCTAACTGCAGTGGCACTGTGGGAAGCAGAGACGAAGACGAAGGCCTTTTGTCAAACCGTATAGGCCTCAATCTTTCCATAAAACCTGCCCACTGCTTGAGATGATGACATGAAACAGACGCCGAAGATTACGTAGATGCACGATGAGCCACTTATTAATATTTATAGAACTGTCTGCTGCAACACTCAGACTCAGACTGTGAGAAAGAATAAAGAAATAAATTCAAATTTCTAATTTTCCTGATTGTGCTGCTTTCTATCTTTTTTGCCTAGGTTACTGTATCACGCTGGTAAAAAACTAGGAAACATATTCTGCCAATGGATTAAACTATTATAACGTCATGCGTTCGGGCAGGATCACCAAAATGTTTGCAGGATCACCCCAATATTCATAACATCGCCGCGAATCCCTGCAGGATCACCGATGTTAGAAAAGTATCTTTCAACCCTGGTTACCACACTCTCTGTTGACGATCGCTATCTTTCACTCCCTCTCTGCCTAGCTCTCTCTACGGCTAAACCCTCTCCTCTCTTGCTTCCTCTCTTACTTTCTCATGTTCTGTCGTCTCGTTATATTCTATATGTTCAGTTTCCATTAGTTTTCTCTGGATCTATATTTCCTTTTCTTAGCTGTTTAGTGCAGCGTTCGAAAGATAATTATTAGTTAAATTAAATCACGTCATGAATGGGGTTCTTATTCTTATATGGCTTCCAGCCTGTGAATAGACATCTGGTTCAAAATGACGTGTTTAGGGTGACTCGGTACTTTTTTCGCTCTCTTCCTCACCTTACAACTGTCTCCCTCCTTCCCCACTCCCTCTCTCCTTTCCTCCTCTCTCTCTCTCTTTCTCTCTCTCTCTCTCTCTCTCTCTCTTTCTCTCTCTCCCTCTCTTCGTCTTGCTTTCTCTCCCTCTGCCTCTCTGTACATCTCCTTTCAGTTGTAGCTGTGAATGAACACAAATCTGGTACAAACCGCTGCTAACGTCTCATTCTCCCTCCCCCCTCTCTCTCTCGTCTTGCAGCTCAGAATCCCGGTCCATTCAAGCGGCAGGTGACGATGACCGAATCCGGCGAGATCGTGCCGTGCAAGCGCGAGCGATTCACGTTCCGCTGGAACCACCTCGAGGTTCTAGAGAGCTTCTTCCGCGAGGACAGCTACCCGGACGTCGCCAAGCGCGAGCAGATCGCCGAGGCCTGCAACGTCGCCGCGTGTCGACCTGGTAAGGCGTCGTCGTGTATGACACATACGACCGCTAGCGCACGTACGGGATGGTGGGGATGGCT